CAAGTAATAAAAAAGTTAGTGTCAGAATTAAGTGAACCATCATCACATAATCATAAATCTAACATTCATGACAGCCAAACTGCCTGAAGACTTGAAAACCTCAATTGTCATTCCTGTATACAAATCAGGGGAAGTTTCTGAATTCAGTCATTACAGACCTATATCTTTATCACTTTGATTTTCGAGGAAAATACCCATGACAATTTGCTTGCATGCACTTTCAATTAGTGAATAATTCTTAAAACGAAGCAACTTTCCAAGTGGATCCACAGCTCAATATACATGCAACTGTTGGAGATGATGGCAGCGGTCTTGCTTTTTTCCATTCTTTTTTTTCTCCGGATTTTGGTGTAAAGAAGTTAGAAATTATTGACATGGAAAGGAAAATTGGCCACGTGATGAATTTGATGATCACAAACAAATTAAACAGCTTCTGTGATTGATTTGAATTCTAATAATTATTAGCAAATTATTAAGGATTTGCAAAATAAATGAGGTTTTTTTCTTTTTTTGGACTTAGACTGAGTAGCCTATAATTTAAGGATCCATAGTTTCAAATTTGTTTTTTATTGGCAAGTTAACCCTGAATTTTCAAAATTTTTTCGAGCCTTTTTTTCTTTTAACCATTTTTTGTTAGTTTGAAAAAGCAAGAAATGCATCTGGTACATACTGTATTTGAGGACATAAATTGTTTTGTTGTGAGGTGAACACTGTCATTCCCTTAACCCTTTCCCTGCCAAGATCTTATTAGTAATTCTCCTTACAGTCTGCCAAAAAATTCATATGATGTTAGTTTGGAGAATTTGGTATTGGATCAACTAATAATCCCCCAAAATTGATATTTTTCTTTATTCTCATCACTTTTCTTTTTGATGTAAGTTGTATTGCTTTGAAAGGAGAATTCCTGTGTTGGTCACTCCTGCAAGTTATAGGGTTAAATGTAAATAAATTTTGAAATTGGATAATGATTGTTGTAAGATTTTTTACTTGAATTGGATTATTTTGTTGCAATTAAATATTGAAGAAGCCTTGAATGGATTTGCAAATTAGTTAAGGATCTTATTCTACCTGCTAATGGACTTGTAAGTGGACAGCTCTATTTATGGACATTTTTTTCAATTCGCTGTTTTGTTGGCCAGTCAAACTCTGTATTTACACTTTCCTGTAAGTGGACAGCTCTATTTATGGACATTTTTTTCAATTCGCTGTTTTGTTGGCCTGTCAAACTCTGTATTTACACTTTCCTGTAAGTAGACAGTTCTATTTATGGAAATTTTTTTAATTCGTTGTTTTGTTGGCCAGTCAAACTCTGTATTTACACATTCCTGTAAGTGGACAGCTCTATTTATGGACATTTTTTTCAATTCGCTGTTTTGTTGGCCAGTCAAACTCTATATTTACACTTTCCTGTAAGTGGACACTCACTTGTAAGCAGAAGCAAAATAATGTTTTTTTAAAGTGAATTTGGAGTTTTCTTTTGTGTATACTCTCTTATAAGTGCATGCCCCAAGTATAGTAATTGACTTTTGGCAATGAAACTTGTCTTCTATTTGCAAATCAACTAATACAGTCATGACAATTGAAAGAGCAACAGAAGAGGGGGAGGGGGGGATTGCATTCTTTAAAGTCAAATCTTCTGTCTTTGGGAAGCAATTAAGCAGTCAGTCTGTTTGAAATTAACAAGAGTGCAACATAACATTATTGCCATGTTTATCATGGTCTACTCTCCTTGTTGTTCTCCCATAAGCAGTTATCCACTCCTATTTTTCTTTGGTGTCCACTCATGGAAATAGTTTTTCTAGATGGACAGCCCTATTATTGGACACTTTTACCAATTCCTGAGGCTGTCCTTTTATGGGAGAGTTGACAGTTATGTTTTCTTACTCACCATCCTTAGTTTATTAGTAAATCCTTTTTCTTTTCACATTCCCTAGTTATGGTAGCTATGCTTTAAACATAAACAAAATATTATTATTACCAGTTTTCTTTTCTCTCTGTTATTTTGTTTATTGCATCAACCACATTATTAGGTTATATAATGTGCACAGCAACTGTGGTGATTAAGATTTCATGTAAGACACATCTTGAATTGAAAATTGTGGTCCTAAAAGCATTATGCTTGGTGACAAACTCTCTGAAGAAAAATAAAGAGACAAATTAAAATTCAAAGCTCTTGTTCTGCTTTTTTGTAATCCAAACAATGAATTGTGTCAGAGAAATGACTTATTAATTAGTTTCTATATTGAAAAATCAGGACCATCTTCTGGTTAATTTGCTGTGTCAATTGCAAATAAAAATAACTTACAGAGGATAAAATCAAATAACAGGTCTGAAAATGGCTACTTGGTCTGAATATTTTCAGCTTAGAAATCATTCATGTTTTGGTTTATACTACAACTGTCTAAGGTTATCACGTGATAACATAACCAACCATAGATTTGCATTAATGATTAATTTTTCTCTCATAATCTTCCTATTGGC